GTAGGTATGTTTCAGATGTAGAATGTATGATGGAAGGTATTCCATCATTGTTTGTCATTGCTTGTAATGTAGTTTATATCATCTGAGACATACTCTTGTGTAGTCTCATCTTAACACTCCCCTTCAAACTCTTACTAGGTCTAGTAGACTTGTAAGATGTTTGCTTGCAGTATGTATAAATAGTTTAATCATTATAACTGTATTGTACAATTGTTCATTTGTATAATGTGTTTATAACTTGATGTAGTTAATAATAATATTATTAGCATTATAGTAATGTATTGTTTGTTCTGTGTACTGTCTGTTCCAAATGTCATCCACTTTGTGTTAAGTTTGTCCAATGTTATATTGTTTAAGTATATTTAATTAGTTTGTTTGTTTGTAGTATACTGTTGAATAACAGTATTGTTATCATGATAGATTGTTTGTAAATGTTATTAAATAATTTGTAAATACTTTAGAGACCTGCAGAATCTTGTTAGTATACATAAGTATGTATATGTGTATATTTAAATTATAAATGCAATTGCTTGTTTTGTTTTATTGTTTGTTATTCAGACATATTGTTTGTTATTAAGTTTGTTTGAGTACTCTAGTAATTTCCTTTTACTTTGCTGTGAAACTAATGAATCATACTAGTAAAATGTATATTTGATGTTGTAATAATATCCTTCTTTAATCATTACTGTCTGTGTTTGTCTACATTTGTATATACATTAAGCATTCAGTAATAGCTGATTTATGTCTTTGGATTGAAGCATTGTATCAATTGTATATTATAATATTAATAATAATATTTGTTTTTGCCAGATTGCTTTATTCTGAGATCAATAAGGTTTTATACTAACATATATTTGTTGTATAAATGTTATGTCTGGCAGCAGGCATCTTACTATGTGTCTAAGTGTATCATATATGTATTATATCATGAATGTATTGTTTGTTTGTTTGCTTTACATTATTGTTTATAGTTATGTATTAATTTATTAACATTATGTTTGTTAATTGATTGTTTCTGATACATCCTGAGTAACTATACAATCTGTTACATTGTTTCTTTAATAGCCAACATAGTTATCCATTGTAAATCATTACTAACATGTGTTTGTATTATTTATTATTAACAATGTTATTGTGAATTGTTATAATCATAGTATTGTGTATATATATGTGTATGTTATGACTATTGTTCTTTGCTTTTTCTTTTGTAAAGAATAATGTATTGTAACATGATCTGTATATAATTGATATATTGGATTATGTTTACTATAATTGTCTCCTAGCATTCTTTAGTTAATCTAGTACTATGCACAATTGTAGTATTTGTTTAATGTTTTATTTGTTAATTGGTTTGCTAGGTAAAACATTTTATATATTGGTTTTATTTATTTTATTTGAATCATTGTATAGATATACCTATTAGTATCTATCCAATGTATTTTATAGTATTATAATACTGTTCACACTTGTATTAATCACACAGTGAGGGCAAATTAATTGTTTGTACAAGAATTGATTTAATAGTTTTATTTAATTATATGTATGTACTCCATACTTGTTTATATAGTTATTATCTGTGTATTGTTTGGTTGTAGTTGCAAATTATATTGCAATTATATTTGTATTATCCTATGAATATATTATTTATTGTTTTATGTACATTCTACAGTATTATTTTTGTTATTCATCACTTTTATCCATGAACTATAGTCTGGATTAGTGAATTATTTTGTTATATAATGTGATAATCATCTGTATATTATTTATTTTTGTATTAAACACTGTTAAGTTAATTATATTATTATATTAATATTATTTGCCAAGTATGAGTATTTGTTTTGTAGTAGAATTATTATTTATTTAACATTGAAGTTCAATTACACATTGTGTTGACTTCCATTATTTAGTTCTGATCAACATAGTTTTGCTTCATACTGAATGATTTACCTTTATGATCTGTTATGTTTGTCTGTAACTTCTATTGCTTAGTCAGTACTTAGTCTGTACATTTTGTTATTCTATTTTTTGTAGCATCTGTAGTATTATACTTTCTGTTCCATTGTTTATATTTAGTTATTAATTTTTTGTACATATTATCCATTTTCTCCCCTTCAATTTAAGAAGGTATTTCTTTGAAGAATTGGATATTTTCTTTAATTGTTTATTAATTGTTGTTATAATATAATATTTATATATAATAATTGTAATTGCTTTTGTGGTTCAATTTCTAATTATTAGTATTTTAAAACAGTGTGTAATGTTTGTTATGTTCTATAATGAGTAATTTAAATGTTATTACTATTATATCTTTGTTACCATTAATGTTTGTCAACTTATATAATGTGTATTTTGTTTGTTATAGTAGATAAGTACACATTATGTATAATATACAAGTTTTGTTCACACTCATTATCTTTTATTAATTATTGTTTGTAATTATGAATGAATATTTTGTTTTTGTGTTGAAAACATATAGTAATTTGTTTGTTTCTGTATAATATTCATTTAATAACATTGTAATTATTATTTATGTAGTGCTTTTAGTAAATGTGCTGAGTTCTATTAAGTATGCTTACATCTGTTATTACCTATTTTATATTATACTGTCTGAGATAATAGCTTAAACATTTTATTAATTTATTTAATCATATTATATTATGATTGTTTTTGATCATAATTATTATAATAATGTGTTTGTAATAATTATATTTGTATTATTTGTTGTAATAACCTTATCAGCTTAATACTTTGCTCCTACAAGCTATGTTGTCATGATGTAAATTTAATAATTGTTTGTTAAGGTATATACACTGTTAATGTTACTGTTGTGACTTCAAAATTTATTATATAATCAACTACTGTGAAAAGACATTCTGTGTAATTAAGTTGTATTATTACATTGTTTTGAGTATAATAGAAATATGATTCTTTCATTTGTTGTTAGTATACATTTACACAATTGTATTAATGTGTAAAGTAGTATCATTTGTTTAATGATTATAATTTTTGCACTTGTCTTGTGCCATAATCAGTATTTATGTGTTATGACATTATTTCTTTGTGTGTAGTTAGTATTTATGCATTATAACATTATTCTTTC